TTATTAATTATTATGTTAAAGATATTTCCATAACAAAGTGTTAAAGCGATCCTTGGGCACGCCTTTTTTCTAAAATCCAGTAAATAAAGTCCTAAAGTCGGGCGGGGCCGATTTTATGATACCCTACACCACTTTGCTAATTTAGTAGAGCTCCGCATGATTATAATTATAATTTAAAATTCAAAGGACTAAATATGCCGAAGCATTTGTATCTTTTAAATTCCGGCTTGTATTGCCCATTTGGTGCGAAATTAATTTGAAATCGAATGAAAATATATATGGGAACTATATCCAAATCTGAACCGATCTCGAAAAAATTTGGCAAAGATATTTCTGAGCTGTATTTGATATATTTCCCTGAATATCGTTGTTACGGAGTGCATATTACGGCTGTGGGTAACAAACATAACAAATCGGATGAACACTATATATTGGAGCTATAGCTATATCTGAACCGATCTTCACCAAATTTGACATACTATCTTCTAGACTCAATTCGATCGTATGTGCCAAATTCCATCCCATTTGGGCAAATATTAGACGTTTGGTGCACAATAAAATCTAAATCGGACGAAGTTATATATGGGAGCTATATCCAAATCTGAACAGATCTTGATAAAATTTAGCAAAGGTATTTCTGAGCTGCATTTGATACATTTCCCCAAATATTTTTGTTACAGAGTGCATATTACGGCTGCGGAGGACAAAAATAACAAATCGGATGAACAATATATATGGGAGCTATAGCTATATCTGAACCGATTTTGATCAAATTTGGCATACTGATTTTCAGGCATCATTTAGTTGTATGTGCAAAATGCCATATAATTCTGACTGATATTACACGTTTCGTGCACAATACAAGGCAAATCGGACGAAAATATATATGGGAGCTATATCTAAATTTTGAACGATTATCTCCAATTTCAATAGCGTTTGTCCTTGGGCCAAACAAATGATTTGTGCAAAATTTCATCTGGATTGGGTAATAAATGCGGACTGTACTTTGTTTACAAAAATACATGGACAGACGGACGGACGGACAGACGGACATGCATAAATCGACCCAGATCTCGTTTATTTATGCCTGTTACAAACAAATCCACAAAAACATAATACCCTGACCACCTTGTGGTGTAGGGTATAAAAATCCACGATCATTGGTCAGGCAAATGCACAACTGTTAGTAGTATGCTTTTACTTAGGAAAATTTTCACTAAATAATCCAGGAATTTTGGTATTTTTAAGTTTTTAACGGATATTATTTTTTTGAAAATTGCCAAATCGTTTCAAATGGTGGAGGGTATTCGAAGTTTGGCCCGGAAGAACTTATAACTTTTTTACTTGTTATGTCTTTAATAATATTTTTCAACGGATTTTTTTTCTGAAATGTTTCAAATTTCTTCCAAATGGTGGAGGGTATTCAAAGTTCTGTTTGACCGAACTTACTGCTTTTTATATAACTCCGTTGATGAATTCAAAACTCTATAATTTTAGGATAATTTTTCTCACGGTAGGATATTTAGTACCTTTTGGTACATTTCGTATTTAGTTAATGTGAATTTACCAAACCCAGTTTTCTCTTAAGCAAAAGAGAATCTATTATCAAATTTTTATAAAATTCACGGTTATTGGTCGGTTGGTCCTAACAAAAAGTAGGATTGCTTCAAAAAGTCCTGGAATGTTGATCATAAAAAATTCCCAATATCCAAACAATGATAATCGATCGGTCGGTAGCTCATTGGAATGGTTTTCAAAATATTTGTTCTGAAGGTCCTTAAAAACATTCTTTAACAACTCCTGGTCTATGAAAAAATGTTATATAAATCTTGGTTTGGTGTTAAAAAAAAAATCTCATTTCCCACAATTGTTGCCTTAATTATTCTTAATAATCCTAAAAAGTCTAGGTGGTCCTGGGAAAAATTCCTGGCCTTTGAAGACTATGTTAAACAAGTAAAAAAACATTAAGATCGGCCGGGCCGAATTTTTAATACCCTCCACCTTAGGATAAAGGAAGCATTAGAACCCATTATGACCCACAAACACCAATTTTTAGACAAATTCGTGAATGTGCCAAAAATCATAAAAATACCGAATAGGCCGATATATCTCATTTTCAAAACGAGAAAATTGTCTTTGCAGGTCCACGTTTTGGTATAGCCCCCATATAGTGGTACCTGCCTATATTCGGTATTTTGATGATTTTAGCGACATTATTCACTTATTTTTTTCAAGTTTTGCATTTGAATGTTATAATTGCTTATGACAAAATGTATACAGCTCTTTTACTTGTTTTGTTTTTTTTTTCGACTACTATTTTTTTTTTTAAATCTTCGACTTTTCTTATCTATGCCAAATATTTTTTCCAAAATCAACTTCCGTTCTTGTTACATATTTTTTTTTGTTTGAAAAATCCATGTAAGTCTTTGTCTTTCACAAAAAAAAACTAAATTTCTTCTAGTCTTTGAAATATTTTTCATTGGAAAATCCCTGCATCTCCTGATCCAGGAAAAATATATATATTTTAAAATTCAAGCCTCTATTAATTAATGGATAATATTTTTTTTAATTCTATTTTTTTTAAATCAACATCCGTTCTGGTCAGTGAAAAAATACTTCTTTAAAAAATCCTTGCCTATCCTGATCCAGGAAAAAAATGTTTATAATATTCAAGCCTGTTTTAATCCTTGGTTTTAGCCAAATTATTCACCGATTTTTTTCAATCTTCGCATTTGAATGTTATTATTGTTTATTACAAAATTTGACTATGCAGGTCCACGTCGCCGTATATACGCTAATATTACTGCTCCATTCGGTATTTTGAAGATTTTAACAGAATTTTTAACGGATTTCATTTTTTTTGAAAATTACGAAATTCGTTCCAAATGGTGGAAGGTATTCAAAGTTCGGCCCGGGCTTACAGTTTTTTTACTTGTTTTGTTTTTTTCGACTACTAGTTTTTTTTGAAAATCTTCGACTGTTCTTTTTTCAATCTTCGCATTTGAATGTTATTATTGTTTATTACAAAATTTGACTATGCAGGTCCACGTCGCCGTATATACGCTAATATTACTGCTCCATTCGGTATTTTGAAGATTTTAACAGAATTTTTAACGGATCTCATTTTTTTTGAAAATTACGAAATTCGTTGCAAATGGTGGAAGGTATTCAAAGTTCGGCCCGGGCTTACAGTTTTTTTACTTGTTTTGTTTTTTTTCGACTACTAGTTTTTTTTGAAAATCTTCGACTGTTCTTATCTGTGTCAAATATTTTTTTCCGAAATCCACGTCCGTTCTGGTTATTTATTTATTTTTTTAGTCCATGTATTTCTTTGTCTTTCACAAAAAAATCAAAATCTCTTCGAGTCGTTGGAAAAATATTTCTTTGAAAAAATCCACGCTTCACGATCCAGAAAAAATTATTTTTTAAAAATTCAAGCCTGTTTTAATAAAACCAAATTTAAACCAATGTCCGTTCTGGTGGTGAAAAAATATTTCTTTAAGAAATCCTCATCTCTTCTGATCCAGGAAAAATATTTTTTTAAAAATTTAAGCTTGTTTTAATGTTTAAAAATATTATTTGAATTTTTTTAAACATCCCTGATCCTTAAAAATATAAATCAAAATAAATTGTTCACCCATTTATTTCTCTTTTAGTTTTGGAAAATTCACATCTGATCATTGAGAGAATATTAAAAATGTGCAGGAATTTTGATAAAAATATATATTTAAATTGTTCACAAATATTCTGGTCTTTGAAAAAATACATATTTTTTATAAATCTCTTCCGATACTAAAAAAAAACATTATTTTTAAATCGTTCAAAAAAAGTTTTGTTAGTCACTGACCATGAAAATTATTTTTTTGAAAACATCCTTTAAAATATTCTTTAAAAATCTTTCAAATACTCTGCCTGTCCTTAAAAATATATTCCCTAAGAAAAAAAACCTCGTCCTTGAAAAATTGTTCATTAAATTCCTGTTAATCCTTTAAAAAACATTATCTCCGAAAAAAATCCGTTAGCTTTTTTGCTTCTGTCTGTCCTTAAAAAATTATTCCTTAAAAAACTTCGTCCTTGAAAAATTGTTCATTAAATTCCTGTTAATCCTTTAAAAAACATAATCTCCGTAAAATCCGTTAGCTGTTCTGCTGCAAGGCACCTGAATAAATTACTATAGCCACAAATCTCATTTATTTTCATCCGGCGACTGCTAAAAATAAATCCATCCAGATGTCAAGGGAACCGTCTCCAAAAAAAAAAGGAAAACAGAACGCCTATCTCATTTTAATAATTTAACCGAAAGCAGTTCCATGAAAACGCCGAAAAAGAAATGTCAATCAAATTGATGAACACGGAATTAAATTAATTAAATTCTCTTAATTGTGTTTATCGTTACAGATAACTGGACACACATACGAGGGCCGCAACACACACGCCCAACACTCTCACATAAACTAAGGCAAGTACCAAGGATCAAGCCTAGCTAAAACAAAAAAAAGGAAAAATCAACAGCACCAAACCTCCAACAATTTTAAGAGCGTGTTTTTTAAACACCAACCATATGGACGTGGAAAAAATATTCATTAACTTGGCTAAATCGATGATTTGTATGTCATGCATCGGTATGGCTGAATGAGGATGTGGCCTGGGTAACCCTCTCCATGACAGCGGTGCTACATTGCCACGAAGGATAAATGGTGAATGGTTTAAAAATAAACAAAAAAAAAATATTCATGAACTGTTCCCACTCGTGCCTCCATCAATAGCTCACCAGATTCAAGCTGCAGCGTAACCATATGGTCCTTGAAAATCTGACACACAGAGACATCTATCAAGAAATCAATATCAGAAATTATTTTTTTCAAAAAAAAAAAAATAAATGTATTTGAAAACAAGGATTTAAGTAAGGATTCCCAGAAAATTAATAAGACATTTATGCTGAAATTGGCCAAAGGATATATGGACAGGATATTTGTGCCAATAAATATTGTCTTATGAGAAATTTGCCAATAAAATTTGGGAATAAATTTTATCAAATTTCTTCTTCATCGACATAAATTACGAGGAGCAGAAGAATATCAGCCACTACCCCAAACACCAATACCAACACAAATCCTCATCATATGAACAGAGATATCCTTAGCACTCACTTAACATCTCTTGTCCCCCCCTGTGCAAAAGTAACTAAAGAGGAGAGGTAAAATAACACAACACGTGTATACGAAGACGACGACCGACCACATTGTCATTGATGTTCGGCTTCATCGATGTGTCAATCAAGTCTAAGACCAGAAGATAAATCACTTTCATTTAGTGTTCGAAGCTAAAAATTTATACAATTTGGGGTAGCACCAAACAAATACGGACACACACACAGAACCCCCAACAAAAAAATTTGGCCTAAAACGCACGAAAGAGAGAAAACCCCGAAACAGCTGCCAATCCTTATTGCATTATTTCCTGTTCCAGCCACACGCACACACATAAACACATCGCTAACTTTTCTATTGAATCTTGAGCCCCTCTTCGAGTATAGCAACAACAACAGCAACATTGAAAGCCTTGCCTTGATTATTTCTTGTATTCCGCTGACATTTGTGATTTTGCGTACATGTCATGATTCGTCATGTGGACGTATATGATGGCAGCTGCCCGCGGCGATCGGGCCAACTCTATGATGGCGTCCAGGCGTCGCAATGAAACTGAATCACCTAAATATGGTTATAAGTAAGTATGAATTATCAATAATAATTTTTTTTTTCAAAGACGCTTGCTTTTTAGGTCATCAGAGGGTATATATCATTTAACACGGCAAAAATTTGCCTCTCGGGTCCAGATCCCATATATCTTTGGACACAATCAGTTTCCAGACATTTGGAGTCGATTTAACCATGTCCATCCATTTGTATTTCTCTCACCGTGTCTTTCTCTGGTGCTCACGATGACTCTCAAATGGAGATCAAATCAAAAATGTCGGCCCTCTCTCTCTCTGATACCTCCTTTAGGAAGGGCATTTTTATTCCTTGTAACATTATATGTTGGGGGTATTATAAGTTTGATTAGGCCAAAAATGTTGTAATATGTTATATACAGAGTGAGATAAAAAAAACTGCAACAAAGTTAAACGCCATAATTTTTACATTTTTTTTAAATTTTATTGAATGAAAGCAAAAAATGTCGAAAATCAGCATCAAACTTTAGAATAAGTTTAGATTTGTTCGAATTGTTCAACTTTGGCACGAATTATGGCCTTCAAACGGCAAATGAAACCGTCACACACTGCCAGAATGTTGATTTGCGGTATTTTAGACCATTCCTGACGAAGCACTTGCTTAAGGTGATCGACAATTTAGTATTTTTATACCCTCCACCTTGGAAAGGAGGGTATATTAACTTTGTCATTCCGTTTGAAACATCCTTAAATATTCGTCGTAGGCCCCATAAAGTATATATATTCATAATCAGCATAAAATTCTATGTCGATTTAACGATGTCCATCTGTCTGTCCGTCTATCTGTCTGTCTGTTGAAATTACGATACATGCCACATTATTTGATGTAGAGTGTCAACATTTAGCAGAATAATTTGCATTGTGTCTAGTATGGTTGGTATTGAAAATGAGATATATCGGTCCACGTTTTGGTATAGTTCCCATATAGCAGTACCTCCCGATATTCGGTATTTTAATGATTTTTGCCACACTTTTTCACGGATTTGTCTGAAAATTGGTATTTGTTGGTCATAATGGGTCCTTGTTCGTGTGGCGAAACATTGTATGTATAGGTCCACGCTTTGGTATAGCCCCCATATAACGGTATCTCCCAATATTCGGTATTTTGATGGTTTTTCACAATTTTTTCACGGATTTGTCTAAAAATTGGTATTTGTTGGTCATAATAGGTTCTAGCTCCCGGATGGAATTTGACACTTACGACCGAATTGAGTCTAGAAACTAGTATATCAAATTTGGTGAAGATCGGTTCAGATATAGCTATAGCTCCCATATATATTGTTCATCCGATTTGTTATATTTGTTACCCACAGCTGTAATATGCACTCCGTAACGACGATTTTCAGGGAAATATATCAAATACAGCTCAGAAATATCATTACCAAATTTTTTCTAGATCAATTCCGATTTGGATATAGCTCCCATATATATCTTTATCCGATTTGAAGTTAATTTAAAAGATACAAATGCTTCGGCATATTTAGTCCTTTGAACTTTAAATTATAAGACTTTCTTTACTGTTTTTTTTTTAAGAACACCTGGTTTTTGCTTTTTAAGCATATTTTAAAATTTCCTGGCCAAAAATCGCCGATTTTTAAGGACTTCCTGGTAAAATTATGATTTTTTAAAGTAAATCCTTTTTAGGAAATATGAACGTGTTTTCCTGGCAAAAAAATTCTTGTATCTATCGGAGAATCCATAAATTTCTTAAAAATTTTTTTTGGGACTTCCTGGAAAAAAATCGTATTACTTAGTAAAAATTACCAGAAATCGAGCCACATCACGTGTCAGGCGCCTTCGAACCAATAATTATCCACATTCACACAAAATTCCACAAAAATTCACTTTATTAAGTATCCTTCCATAAATAATCAGATTTGCTTTAAATAATGTCTTCCATTTGTCTTCTCCAATTCCGTGCAAGAAAAGCTTTTAATTTTATTAAAAAACTGCAAATGCTTTAGTTTATATCGAATTTTTCGTATTCCAACTCTGCATTTTTTAATAATAATTTCCTAAGTAAATTAAAAACGTAATCCATTAAATATTTCGAAAGTTTTCAGACACAAGATGTTGAGTTTTATGTTGTGTGTGTGTTTGTATTTTCATTGAAAATCTTCTTAGCAGCCTGAATACGCTGTTGACATGATTTCCTTATTTTAAGTTGAGCAAACATGTTTAGATGGCGTAGCAGCAACTGATTAAATATTTGAAATTTCTCACTCTCTCTCTCTCTCTCTCTCTCTCTTTCTCTTTTGCAGCCTCTCCCGTCCCATGTACCGTTCCATACGTCACAATAATGGACCATCAACGCAATGCCATACCACCTCATTGGGTGGCTCATATCCTTACACCACGTCAACGAGTCATTATGGTTCGACAGTGTCTTCGTCGTCGGCATCAACGACGGCAGCCCTGCACCACCATCCCCACCAACAGCAGCAAAAACTACTGCATCAACATGAAACGGGTCAACATCACATTATTGGCATTGAGGACGATGTTTATACTAATCCGGTTAGTAATGTCTCAACATCGCCCTATGCCGACGACATGGAAGAGAGCACCAGCCTCTTCTCACCGCTTGCACCGAGCAGTACAACAACGATGCCAATCGACACGGCAGTCCTTATAGCCCGAAAACATCGCCTGATGTCTTCCTCCTCGAATTCCTCGCAAAATCAACTGCATTCCTTGGCGACGGTGGCGGGAACGACGACGACATCTTCGTCGATGAGGCCCCTTGGCGAAATGATGATGGATGACTTGATGGACGTGGAATCGAGGCAACACAGCTCCTATATTGGCAGCCAGGCTGCCGTGGTGCGATTACCCAACTCATCGGCATCACGTAAACTATCGGCCCCATACTACAATGAGAGTGATGAGGACGATGACGACGATGGTGACTATGCCCAAATTGTAAGATGTTCATCGGGTGATTCGGCAACGGCCATGACAGCCACTACCATAGGTAGTCGTCAGCCACAAACCAGGCTAATTGATCCCCAGCACCAATCCCATCACCATCATCATCAGCGGAGTATACGAAAGCAGTCGCGGGGTGGGAGGATGAGGAGAAGTAGTAGTGGTCATTTTGATGATGGTGTTAATGACACACGGAATGCCACTGCCGATGATTTGGGCGATGCTGACAGCGAGGACGAAGATGTATACGACGATGCCGATGAAGACAACGATGATGTCAGTATTGGCAATGAGATTAACAAGGATCGAAAAAGAGCCAATTACTTGGAAAATGGCAAACGCCTGTCACAGGTAAGTCTAATGATTTCTATCAGTTTGTTCTAAGGGGCTTAAGGATGTTTGTATTTCTTTTGAGGATGATGTCCTTAAAAAGGGGGGGGGGGGGGGGGTAATGTTTGGAATTTTGACAATCATTGAATGGTAATTTATTTGAATGTGATTAACATTTGTTATCCTTCCAAATAATTTCCAAAAGATGTAACTAATTTTCAGGATTTTGAGCTTTCATTTCATTTCATTTATTTCGAAGTTTTAGCCAGAATTTCTCAAAAAGGACCTCTTGGCCAAACCATCGGGTATTTTTTGACGAATGTTTTGAAGAACCTTCTGAAAAAAATATTTTTTTAAGATATTGTCATGAGGGCCTTTAGAAAAATAACAACGGATTTGTTTAAGAATATTTGTTGAAGGTAATAATCGTGGATTTTTAAAAGAATATTTCTTCAAGGATATTTAGACCTCAATTCAAGGATTTTCTAAAGAATATTTTTCAAGAACCATCACACGCATAGCATAGGATTTTTTTTTCAGTAACGTCAATTACGAATCATGGTTTTTTAAAATAATATTTTTTCAAAGATTTTCTTTGGATTGAGATTTTTTTTAGAATATTTTTTCAAGGACCCTCAGGCAAATAATTGTGGAATTCTAAAGCATATTTCGTCAATATCCCTTGAATAAACAAACGTTTAAAGCACCGAAATGAGGCAAAATCAAGATTTTTTGAGGAATATTTTTTTGAAGGACCAATAATCTAGTTTTTTACCATATTTTTTTTTCAAGGACCTTCAGATCAATAGCCGTGAATTTTTTTAAAGAACCTTCAGACCAACAATCGTGAATTTTTCGAAGGCCATTATTTTCAAGGACCCTTAAAACATATTGTACGGATTTTTAAAGAATATTTTTTCAAGGACCTTCAGATGAATCATCCTGAATGTTTTTCAAGGATCTTCAGACCAGAAATCGTGGATTTTTTAAAGAATACTTTTTCAAGGATCTTCAGACCAATAACAGTGGATTTTTTAAAGAATATTTCTTCGAGGACCTTAAGACTGATAATCGTGGATTTTTTAAAGAATATCTTTACAAGGACTTTCAGACAAATAATCTTTGATTTTTTAAGAAAAAGGTCCTTCAGACCAATCATCGTGAATTTTTAAAGAATATCTTTACAAGGACCTTCAGAAAAATAATATTTTATTATTTTTAAAAATACTTTTTTCAAGGACATTCAGACCAATCATCGTGAATTTTTAAAGAATATTTTTTCAAGGACCTTAAGACTGGTAATCGTGGATTTTTTAAAGAATATTTTTTCAAGAACCTTCAGACAAATTATCTCTTATTTTTTTTAAAAATACTTTTTTCAAGGACCTTCAAACCAATCATCGTGAATTTTTAAAGAATATTTTTTCAAGGACCATCAGACCGATAATCGCGGATTTTTTAAAGAATATTTTTCAAGGACCTTCAGACCAATAATCTTGAATTTTTAAAGAATATTTTTTCAAGGACCTTCAGATAAAAAATCTTGGATTTTTTAAGGAATATTTTTTCAAGGACCTTCAGATAGATATCTTGGATTTTCTATAGAGTATTTCTTCAAGAAGTTTTAAACCAAAAGTAATGTGTTTTTTAATTATATTTTTTCAAGGATCTTCATACCAATAATCGTGGATTTTTTTAAGAATATTTTTTCAAGGACTATCCATAATTGTGAATTGTGGATTTATAAAGAATATTTTTTCAAGGACCATCCATAATTGTGAATTGTGGATTTTTAAAGAATTTTTTTCAAGGACTTTGAGACCATTAATTTTGGATTTTTAAAGAATATTTTTTAAAGGACCTTCAGACCAATAATGGTGTGTTCTTTTACGATTATTTTTTAAGGGCCTTCGTGGATTTTTATAGCAATAATCGTATTTTTTTTAAATAATATTTTTTCAAACATCTTAAAGGCAATAATCGTGAATTTTTCAAAGAATATATTATCAAGGATCTTCAGACCAACAATCGCGAAATTTTAAATAATCGTGGATTTTTTTTAAGAATATTTGTTCAAGGACCTTTAGGCCAATAATTATATATGTTATTGGATATTATTTCAAGAACCTTCAGTGCAATAATCGTGGAGTTTTAAAGATAATATTTTTCAAGGACCTTCAGATGATATTGGATCTAGGTCCTTCAGACCGATAATTGTGGATTTTTTGAAGATTATTTTTTCAACGACCTTCAAACCAATAATCATGAATATTTTAAAGATTATTTTTTCAAGGACCTTCAGACCAATAATCAAGTATTTTCAGACCAAAATTCAAGGACCTCCTGGATTATTAAAGGATCTTCATGCCAAAAATTATTTTAAATTTTAAACGACCTTCAGATTCATAATCAAGGACCACCATATCAAAAATCAAGGACATTTTGACCAATAATCGTGGGTTTTTAAAAATACTACTTTTTCTAGGACCTTCGTTCCAGTAACCGTGAATTTTTAAAGGAAATTTGTTCAAGGATAATAGGGAATTTAAATTTAAAAGATAATCGTATGTTTTAAGGAATATTTTTCAGCTATTTGTTTCCGAAATACAGTTAAATTTTTCAGTATTTTTTTTTTTTCAAATACAAAAGGATCTCCAGATCAAAAGTAATATTTTTTGAGAATGCTATGAAGGACCTCTTAACCAAAAACCGTAGATTTGATAAAAAATATTTTGAATGACATTCTAATTTAAAATCTTAGATTTTGTTCTAGATTAAAAACATTGTCAAAATTGATCAAAAATCGTTGACTTTTTTAAAGAACTTCAGAAAAAATTTTGGAGTTTTTAAAGGAACTTCTGACTACAAATTCTGGATTTTTATTGACTATTTTAAAGGACTTCCTTTTTAATATTTTTGAAGGTTTTCATGTCCTTTGTTTATTAAGAGCTCTTTTTAAGGAAATTTTTTCCAATTTTTTTTCTAAGGACATTTTTAAGTCTAACATTTATTTACAATTCCAGTAAAATTTATGCACCTTTCCCGACAAAAAATAACTAAAAATCAAATGAAACCATTGAAATATTTCATTGCCACAAAGTTATTTTTTATTACAATACAAGCCAAAACCAAGTCTAACAAGGGTCACTGCATGACAAACATGAAAATGAATACATTATTGCTGGGGTCAAAAACTCTTTAAATTTCCACAAAAAATGCATGCAAAGAGAAAAATAAAAAAATATAAAGGAACCCCTAGAAAATCCTTATGTTTCACGAACCAAACGAAACAAACTTCTGGCGAAAACCAAAAGATTGCAAATTCCCAAAGTCATCTGTGACAGTAGCAATAATAACCCCAGAGAATGCTGGCTATGCAATGCGACAACAGGATATGTCACAAAGATGTTTTGAAATGGACACCAGTGCAGCAGATGGAAATCTCCTCCTCCCATAAAAAAAAATCCAACAAACCGATCAACTTCATAGCCTGTGACATTTTGTGGTATCGCCCACATTGCAGCTCAGTCTGTCATACTCCATAATGTAAAGCACTTGTCTCTTGGTCCAGGGGTATTTGATATTTGGTGTCATCCACTTCCTTTTGCTCCACCCTTCTGTCCCTACCACTTGGAACAGCTTTTTCTTTATTGACACACAGGATAATGGTCTCAAAACTGCTGCAGCAAACTGGTGGAAACAGCTGCAACTGCAGTAGAGTTAAGTTTCGCATCATTACAACTCAATTGAGGAGATGCTTGTTAACAAGTTCTTCTGCCTCTGTTTCTTTGCCTCTTTCCACGTTTTGGGGTTTGAAGATGATCATCATTCGCATCCAAAGTAGAGTATATGGTTGGGTCTCTTACGACTCTGTAGTGCTAAATGCTGGCAAGGCATTCAATTTCTTAAATGGCAAAGAAAGAGAAGCAAAAAAAAAAAAGACATTCGAGACTAAAATGGATGTGGAGAATTTAAGAGGACTGTGTAAAGGCAGGGAACAGGGGGAATAATGTTTTTTAAGGAAAATAGGGGGAGAAATGTTGTAATGAAGAGCAAAATGTGAAAGTGAGTAAGAATAAGCTGTTGACAACGTTTCTAATAAAACTTATTATTTTGAAAATTTTGTTCATATTTTTATTTTTTTATTGGTAAAATTTTCCCTTATTTACCACTTACCCATTGCGTATGAGTAATGTATCCATTCGGTGTGATGATGAGTATACGCCACCATATTAGTATAAATTATACAATCCTTTAGACCAAAAATCATGGATTTTTTAGAGAATATTTACTCAAAGACCTTCCAACCGATCATCATGGATTTTTAAAGAATATATTTTCAAGGACCTTCCCACCAATCATCGTGGATTTTCAAAGAATATTTTTTCTAGGATCTTCAGTCCATTTGGAACATTTGAACAACAATCGTGGATTTTTTAGAGAATATTTTTTAAGGACCTTCAGACAAATAATGGGAGAATTTTTAAAGAATATTTTTCAAGCACCTTCATACCAAAAATCGTGGATTTTTATTTAAATAATGTTTTAGTCACGGACATTCAGACGTATAATTGTGAATTTTTAATGAATATGTTTTTAAGTATCTTCAGACCAATAATCATCGATTTTTAAAAAGTATTTTTTCAAGGATCTACAGAGCAATAATTTTGGATTTTTAAAAAAAATATTTTTCAAGGATCTTCATATTAATAATTGTTGATTTTTAAAGAATATTTTTACAAGGACATTTAAAAAAAATATTTTTCAAGGATTTTCAGAGTAATAATAGTGGATTTTTAAAGATACAATTCAAGGATTTTCCGACCAACAATTGTGGATTTCAAGGATTTACAGACCATTATTTGTGGATTTTTATAGAATATTTTTTTTACAAGGATCTTCATACAAGTTTTAAAAAATATTTTCCAAGAATCTTTAGATCAATAATCGTGGGTTTTTAAACAATATTTTTTCCAGCATCTTCAGACAAATTTAAAAAAATATTTTTCAAGGATCTTCAG